AGGAGATTTGTTTCTCTGACTTGTTAAATGTTAACTTAAGTCCAGGTTTATAGTGCACGCATATTCCAGTACATGGTGAGTCTGCTGTTATTTCTGAACGGGGGATTTCCCTGTGGGATCACTACATCTGCTTTCAGGTGGGCTGACTTCAAACATGGACAAATTCATTTAAATATAACCCCAGCATGACGGGATCTGCTCAAATTAAGGATAAAATTAATATTTTAATAACAAATGTTTTCATTAAGTACCAGATAGTCAGATTTAATAACCAGTGACAATGTTTCGGGTTTTCTCCAGTTGAAACGTGACTGCAGGCGGGTCACGTTCGTGTCAGTGGGTTCATCCCAGCCAAGCAGCCTCACAGCTATTTTAGTGTTAGAATTCCTCGAAGCATTGGCATGGGGGAAAGATTTGGCAGCTTTATTCCTCTCTGGAAACATCATTAGCTCTGGCTCTTTTCCTTTCTTTGTGTCTGAAATCATAAAAATATGCCTACCGTTCAACTGCATGCCTCAGCTTTTTTTATTTTCTAAACTCCTAATAAAGTATTTTTGGTCTAATTTCTAGTCCAAAATGTCTTAGCACACTTAAAATAATAATAAATAGAAGTAAATAATCCAGAATATTGATGAAGAAGTATTAGTTTCACTAGCAGATTAAATGTCTTTTTATAAGTGAAATAATCTGTCAGTGGCCCTTTTTTAATCAATAGTAAGGAATTATTTATTTAAAATGAGCTCTTATGTAAAAGTTAGTTGTATGTTAGTTTTGTCTTATTTCAAGTTTGAACTTGAAACTAGATTAAATTACTTAGTAAGGTTTATTGTTTTTGCAGTGAGATTGACTAATAATGAAATCATTTGCAGCCGAAATATAGTTAGCAATGTCAAATTAAGCTCTGCTGGCTGTCCTTAAACTAATATTATTATCTGTAGCTTTGTTCTGACAGATGGCACAAAAGAAAAACCTGGTGTAAGTTTATTTTTTGGTATTCAGCATTTTTGAGCAAACAACCCCCTCAAGGTTGTGCGTTGTTCGGATTTCTCGAATCTGTACTGGTGAGGTTCTTTGAATTGTTGGAAGGTGAGATTGATGCTGATATAGTTAAACCACGTCTCAGGGTTACATCACCCAAAAGTGAAATCATAGACAAGTGTAGCTGCAATGGTTTCAATAATCCACACCTCATACAGATGTTGTGTTTCTGTATTTAGCCACAGAACTACGAAACACTGTGAAAATAAAACATACATCCTTAAGCATAAAAGTACCATAAACACCACCATTACAACAAGGAGTTTTCAGCTAGCCACCTTCTCCTCTGTGAAGAAGATCCTATAGATTTTAGGAGACAAAAAGAACAAAACAAACAAAAAGACACTGATATATGGATGAGTGAAGTGATTGTGGTGTGAATCACACCTTTACTTCTGCGCCTGTACAGTTTGGTTTCTGGGAATCTCCCAGGATGACTGTCTTTCGGTTTCTAAATCGGTTTCTGATGCAACTTGGATGCAATTTGCTTCTTTAGCTTATAGTTTTTACTATTATTAGTGCCCATATAAACAACACCCTAAGGATAATATATTTTATTCTCTAGCAAATGGAATCGTATCAAGTTTGAGCCCCTATTATCATATTTAAAGTCTTCAGAAGCTAAAACATGTCCACCAAATGAATACTATTCTGTCTATTAACTTTTTATTTTAATAAATTACTCTAAATTACATTCCATAGGAAAAAGAGAAAAGGTTTAATACAACATGAAATAAGTAAAATATAAAATTCAATTGCTTAATTAGACTGAAGGAGGCCAGCGCTGAGAAGACTAAACAAATTTACCCGGAAACACAAAATCCCGAAAGAAACATAAAGATAGACCATTAAATAATGTTTGACTTAGTGTGTTTAGAACATATTTGTTGTTGAATATGCTCAGGTCTATCTTAAATTTTATTTCACTGAAGCGTTACACTTTCTCGTCCTTCTTTAGCAGAAACAAGTTCTATTTTCTGCAAAATGTAACGCTATTTTATGCTGCATGTTTTGTGGGGCTGAAAAAAATTAAAACTAATTTAGCAATTGATTAATTGTTAACTGGAATATACAAACTCAAAAACAGTACAATTTCTGAGAAAATAACTTATTCAGTGCAGTAATTAGGCTAAAACTGTACAAAAAAATTATTTTAATAATTTTAAAAAGCCCTTATCTATCAGTATGTTCTACCTAAAGCTCCTCAAGTGGCATTTTTGGTTCTAATTGTCCTATTTTGTTATCCAATTAGCAACGGGTTAGTACAAAAATGAATCAATTTATCTAAATGATCAAGCATATACTAAGGGAATGCTATGATTTTGCATTTTAGGCTATAAAATATTTATTTTCTTATTTATAAAAGTAACTTGAATTGTTTATTTGCATCTTTTTCATTAAAATTGTAATGAAAAATCTGTAGAATGTGCCATTTAAAAAAAAAAAATCTAATGAATGGTCAGAACAATTAGCTACAAAAATAATTACTAGCTGCGTCCCTAATGATTTGTTTTCAAACTTACTGCCTCTTATTTATGCAACTTGCTTAATTAAAGCAGAAAAGTGCCTCCACATCCATCCAACTAGATGTTTTTGTTGCTCTTGTTACTGCGGTTGACCCGGTCACGTCAGGCGGAGTTCATTCACAACAAACTGTCCTCTGTTTCCATCACAGTACAGTCTGCCCTGTTTCTTACATAAGCAGCTTAATCCAAATCAGGTCTGCGCTTCATGCCTATAACAGGCGCAATGGGCGGATTTTGTAAACGCTGCAGCAGCAGAGAGGTGACTGGGTTTCCCTGGATGCAGGCAGGTGTTGGTGTCTGGAGCCCCCTAGCGGCGGGTTGAGGACGTGGATTTTATTTTTTATTTTCAGGACATGTGGCGCTTGTCACGTCGCGTGAGGCTCAGGACTCGTGTGACCTTCATCTGCTAAGCTTATCAGCAACCAACACCGGCGGGTTGGACATCTGAGAACCGGAGTGAAACAGAACCCGGCTTTGGTAGCGTCTGGTATTTACTGGTTCCAACGCATCCACTTAAATCAGGGGGTCAAAGTCAGCTTCATTTTGGGCCAAATCAAAATTCATAATGTTCTTAAAAAGCCGATTGTGCCAGAATACATAGATAAAACCCATCAAACTGTTAAACAGCTAGTTATTCCGCATTCAATAACTTTTTTTTTTTTTTTTTTTTTTTTACAATTAAGTAATATATTTTCACACTGCTCAGTACCTCCAGGATTTCGTGATTCCTTTTGTGGTGTTTTGCAATCAAAATAATAGATTTTGTGGTGCTAAATTAGAAATATTTTTAAGGAAATTTTTAAATATTGGCGCCAATATATGTTAAATGTGACTTTTTATTACTTGACATCAAATAAGACTGATAGCAGTCACGTAAACCCAATGTTTTGACCAATTTTGAGAAAATTTTGCTGTAAAATCAGAACAAATGAGAGGATCTATTGATTTATTTATTTTTTTTTACTTTACGGATTTGTGAAAAACTGGAGGGACTTACTGGTGTAATTTGGAGTCTAGAGGGCCACAAAAAAAGCTGCGACGGGCCAGATTTGGCCCCCGGGCCTTAAGTTTGAAAGTTGCGACTTAAATGGTTTAACATTAAAATAAAAATGAGTTATCCTGCTGCTATGCAGCATGTAAACCTAATAATCAATAAGTCAATTAATCGCATGATAAATTAAAACAAACTCAATCATTTTAATTTGTATGATTTAGTATTTTTATTTTTTTTTCTACAGAAAACTGGATGACAGAAGTCTTCAGTCTTGAGTTTTGGTCTCAGCTAGCCCTTTTTCTGAAGGACAATTTTGTTTACAGAACTTTTCCCCTCCATTATAGTTTAGTTGTATTTTGTTGCTAGTTTTTTATTAGTATTAAAACTGTAATATGAAACTTATTTAAAAAAAAAAAAATTTGCATGTTTTTAAACTGTTACTATATCATGACAATATGGTAAAGACAGATAATTTACCAAAAATTGAAATGTGAAACATTGAGCTCCTCTGGCATCTCCCAGCTCCAACTAAAAACAACCAATCAGAGCTGGGAGGCGGGTCTTAGCGCTGTCAATCAAAATCTCATCCTCTTACCCCCTTGCTCTCAGATAGCTTAAATGTTATGAATGCTAAGGCTAGTTAGCATAGCCACACAGATAAACAGTTTTTCTGTAACGACAAATTGTTTCTCTGCCATTAGTACATTTAGCAGCGAGTACATGAGGATGATTAACAACGCTAAGTCCCTCCTCCTGGAACCGATTGGTTGTTTTAGCTCTGGAGCGTTGCATTTCTTCAAATGGCAATAGATGACAGAAGTGGAGATCGATGTTTCCACATTTTATCTCACATTATATGACATGACATGGAGACAGTTTTAAAAAAATACATTCAAAAAACATTTATAAAAGTTACTGCAGCTTTAATTATTTAGTTTTATTAGTTATAGTACTAGTTTGAGTTGTTTTATACTTAAATTTTTAGATGCAGAACACAAAAAGTCAAAGTATTGTGATTATACCTATATAACCGATTTTCAGTTAAATTATTCTGGAACAATCATCTGACTTTGGCACTTTGTCCCAGCTTTTGCTGTCGCCATTTTACGGACAGTTTTAAGTACCGCCGCGAGGAGCATAAAGTGCCATAATTTGCTAACAACTGACGTAAACTGCTTGTGTGGAAAAAGTAAATAAAAAAAATCAATTTCATGTCAGTCTGAAAAAAATAGATTAATAAACAGGAAAATGAGGAGTATTATATCTGTATTTCAGTAAGTTGTATAATCATTTTCCCCATTAATTACTGTTTTTATTTATTTCAGTTAAAGAAAATGTTTTCCCAGTTTCAGGTTTTGCCCTTCAGTCAGTTTTAGTTTAACTATAATAACTTTGCTGGAACCCAGTCAGTGTTGATGTAAACACAAACAAACCACTTCCACTTAAAACAGATTAGAAATCACTTTAATGTAACAACATAGTGATTTTTAAGACTTACAGTCAGAAATAAAAATCTAATTTCAGATCATTTTAAACCGAGAGGAAGGAGATAGCCTGGTGGAACGACTGAAATAAAATAGAAAAACATGAACACAAACATATGCCTCTTAATACTGTGATCTGATAACATGTCTGCAAGAGCTTTTTTTTCTTTTGTTTTTTTTTTCTTTTTTAAAGGAATAGTTTGCCTCACACGAGAACATTCTTGTTGAAAACCTAAAGAATGTGGATAAAATAGATTACAGTACTTAAATATAAAAATAGACTCTGGATTTCTTTGCTCCCATTTCTCTCTCTGATTCAGTCATGGAGATGGACGGATGGACGTGTCCAGCGTGTCCTCAGATCCCTCAGTGGCACATTCGAGCAGTCATCTCTTTCTGTGGAAACAAACAGCGAGTCGATTATTAGAAACGCTAAATATAATCAGTATTAATGGCTGACTCTGAAATAAATTAACTTTTCAATGATTTTCTGATTTATTGAGCTGCACCAGTAAAACAAGTTAATTCCTAATAAAGCTCTAATAGAATAAAAAAAAACTTTAATTTTCAAGGCATAAATTAATTTAAATGTGTGAGTTCAAGAGTATTGCTACATTTTTTCTGAGTACAACTGATTATATTTTATTTTAAAGAAATTGTTCCATTCTGCTGATTTTTTATTCAACTACTGAAACCTATTTCATGCAATAGTAGAAACACATAAAATTACAAATAGACAAATTATTTAATTCCTTTTTTAAATTAGAAAATAAACATTTTATTGGCTAAAATTATAGCATTCCTTTGCTGCAAATGATCAAGTGTACTTAAACGACACATCTGATCTGTTGATTAATAGATGGAGAGCAACAGGAGCTTAATCTGAGATTTATTTATTTTTACAGATCAGATTTATTTATTTTGAAGCAGGTGAATCTAAAAATGTCACTTCAGAAGTTCTGGGTAGAACATTTTTTGTACAGTTTTGGCTTAATTGCTGCTTTAAACATCTCGTTCTTTCATTTCTAGTCAAAAAACAAGATTTTTCTTTATTCTGCAAGTTTGTATCAATCAACAGCTAAAACCAGTTAATGTTGCATGCAAATATTGATAAGAAATTGTGAAAATATTGTAAAGAATTTATGTAATTATTACTTTTAAGGTGCATTTTCCCCTCTAGATTGGTTGAATTAGGTCAGCATGGTGACTCTGTGAGGCTAAAATTAAAATTTTTCTCAACTATTCACTGCAGGAAACATACATGTGTGATTAAACAGATAATATAATTTTTTTTAAAATCATTTTTCATTGTTAATCTTCCAAGGTGGTGAAATAAAGTCCTGATTTTGAAGCAGCCGAGTTTTTCCAGAGCTTGATCACATGAAAAGACGTCGATGGATCAAAAACAGAAAACAGGTTAAAGGTTAAAGCTCTGAGTTTACAGCTCTGTAAACTCAATCTGATCAGGGAGACCTACTTTTCAGATCCGAGAAATGTCAAATCATGTTGCTTTAAATCCATAAACAGTTTCCTCAGAGGGGGGAGGGGCCTTCAGTCTGAGCATGCTCAGTAAGGCTGCAGGAAAACTGCACTGTTTGAGAGAAAACCTTAGTTTAAACCCAAATAAAATGTCCCAACGTTTGTTTTCGCAACATGTATGAAAACGAGTCAGTCTGCAGAGCTGCTGTGTTTACCTTCATGGGTAGAAATTTACATGTTTTTGCTTTTGGCTGCACAGAGCATTTTGCATGATTCAGACTTTCTCATTCAAGCTGAACAGCAGGCAGTTTATTTTTACCATCACTCACTATGACACAACAGGTACATCTCAACAAACCAGCATATTATAAAAAAAGTTGATGAACTTAGTTAAGCCAACTAAGCCTACTATTGATTATTTGAGCAGTACTTGGTTGGCCCTCGTTCCACTCCAGTTCTATCATGGTCATTAATCTATGTATCGGTTCTTTCATCCCCATAAAACTCACCATCAGAAGGAAACGGCTTCACTGGCTTTGGATGCGTTAGGCCAGCAGACGATTTAGCCCCAAATCATCATTCTGAAAGCTCCAGCGAACCTCAAGACAGAGTGTGCCTCTCCACTTTCTCTACGACCTTGATTTCCAAATTAAAAGTCTGATTTGATTGCATCTGAGCAACAGTCTAGTCCTCTTTACCCAGAGTTCAGGACACTTTGACTGTGCTTTTCCCAGGTACTTACAAATCTATGCCTAAAAGTTTTTCCTTCCACTCAACTTTCCAAAAATAGATCTCTCTGAACAGCCAGCTTCTTTAACAATGACTCTTGTTGTTGACAATATTTTCTCTATTTAAATAATAATAGATAATTCAAATTCAATTAAAAATACTTCATTAATCCAAAGGGAAATTAAATACTGAGATAATAGTAATATTATAATATTATATTATATTAGCACATTATTATTAATATATATTGTTAGTATATATTATTATATATATCATGAATATCATATAATTACCTAGATGTACTAAAAGAATCAAATGTTCAGGTATGTTGTGAAATGGTGGTGCTTTTACGCCGTTTCACCGCTAGGGGCGCTAAAGCTTTGATTTTTAATTATTTGTTTTTCCTAAATTCCTTCCACATAATACTTTTACTTTTTTATCTAAGACATACAGATTTTTAAGTTAATGTTAAAATGAAAGTTCCTTTAGAAAATAATCTTGTCTTCATTTGTAAATTTTAATATAATTTAACCAATTAAATCAAATTAAAACAAGGATCTGTAATTATTATTTATTAGGTTGTTTGCTCTCTGATTTGCCCCCATTTGAAGCCTCTCTGGTGTTTAGTTTGCTCAGGTCCAGGTGTGTTTGACTCACCAGGGGTTCCAGTTCTTTGTGGTCCGTCAGGTTGAACTCAGTGACGAAGTAATAGAAATGCTTGTAGCAGGTGTTGACGTGCGCCTCAGCGCCCATCTGGGAGACCCGGTCGAAGTGGTGGATGTAGACGTGGACAAACACCCGGAACAGACGAGACAAAATCTTCTTAGCCACCTGCATGAAGCACTTAGGGAAAGGAGTACCTGGGGGAGCAGCAGAAGGAGAGACTCTCTTTCTTACTGTCTGCACCAAACATAAAACATGTTCACAACAAACTACCTAGTAAAAAGTTACATTTTCTGTTCGTCTGACTGCAGTTTGCTTTGACAAAATTAGCAGGAAGTAGTTCACATCAGCGGTGGTTTCTATTCATAGTGCACTGGGCATGGTGTGACCCATTTTTTTAATCCACTGCCTGGATGTTTCTGTTGTAAAGTCAGCTGCTGAGCCGCAGCAGAGGCCATGCATACATGCAGAGATAATAACGTCCAGACGAGAACGCCACTGCCACGGTTTTACCGAATCCTCAACGTCTGCGATGCGAAACGCAGAAGGTAATCTAATAAATCCAGCCTTGAAATACAAACGCTTCATATTTTGGATTGCACAACTATTTTATTTATTTATTTTTTTCCACAGGTTATTTTTAAAAGTTGCTTTTTGCACCAGAGTTTGGGTTACAGATGATCATTTCAGGTTGAACTTTATTTTGATTTTTATTCAACATTATAAATAGGCCTGTTGCAATAAGCAAAAAAAAAAAAAAAAAAAATCAATTAATTAATTGGATCATGAATTAAACTCAACAATTAGCATGATTTAACTTTTTTCCTCTTTCTACCAAAAACTGGATGAATAAAGTCTTCAGTCTGGTGCTTTAGCCCTTTTGTGAGGGACAATTTTGTTTGCAGAGACTTTATAATTAACTTTATGAAGCATTTTGTTTATTTTCCAGCGTTAAATGTTCATTAGAATTTAAAGTTTATTGATCTTTGTAAACGTAATCTTGCATTATTACGTCATGGTCTCAATTTCTCTGCACAGTAACTGAGTCAGAGTAAAACTAGGCTACAGTAAACAACAAGCAGTGTTTTCTGTTTAAACAACATTAAACCATAACCTCATACTTGGCCATTGCAGCTCTAGGGCTATTAACGACTTTCATGTTGTCTCTACAAACAATCTGCAAATTATCTCATCTCAACCTTCTGCATTTGTAATATCTGAAGCGATTGTTCCTTTTGATTACTCTGTCTTTGACATTGTGTTTAATTTTCCCACTGCGTTACTTGTTTTAGTGTTTCAAGCTTTCTAAATTATATTTTTGCTATTAGAAGCGACTGCGGCAAAAATAATTTTCCTCTTATCTAGGCTACAATCAAAGACACCCTGTAGAAAAACATTTTTATTGACACTAGAAAACCCGTTTGTCTCCATACTTCAGCTCGTTTGGCTTCGTCTCAGGAAGCTTCATGGTGGAAAAAGCGTCAAAAGAAACTGGTGATAAATGTTGACTGTAGAGCTGCAGAGGAGGAAGTGGTTTTCTTTCAACAACTTCAAGTTTAGCGAGAATAAACGGAGAGTTCGGACTGATGGGAACCACAGAAACTCAAAGGCCACACGTGAAGAGCAGGCGCTGCTGATGAGCGGATAAGGACACAATGGGTTGATTTACCCTGCTGAATGAGCTCTATGTTTCATTTTCTGTTGAATATGAGTTTTATGAAACGGTTAACATGAAGGTTTGACTGCAGAAGATCAAAACAACTTTGATTCATCCAGATTTATTCAACTTAACTGAGGATAATGTGAATATCTAAATAAAACCAGTTTACTGTACACAGATTCAGAAATAAGTTAAATAATCGTAATGTTACATTTTCAGTATAGAAACTGATTATTTCTACATCATCAAATTTTTTTTTACTTTTTTTTTTTAGAAATGCATAAATTATTTCATAGGGTTAGGTCACAATGTTGAATCTTAACTCATATTTAATGTGTAAATATTTGCATATAATAATGCAGAATGCATTAAATGCTAATAGTTATTGTTGAGAATAATAAAACTAAAAATGTGCATACATTTTCTAGGAATATTTTATCCATATATTTAATATCAAATATGCATTTTTAAGCAAAATTAATCTTCACTATAAGAACATCAAATTACAGATAGAGGAGTAAAGATGTAATGTCTTTAGTCTTTTATTTACTTTTTATACAAACGGAGAGGCTTTCAGAAACCGAGATTATAGTAATCCTTTGTTATCATGATGATTTAGGAAGCCATTAATGTTAGCTTATTTTGTGTCTGATGTGATGCAGAAGAATTAAAGCTGCAGTATGCAACCTTTAAATAAAATAAATGTAAAGTTTTTCATTGTTTATTTTGTATGAAGCTAAAACTGCCACTTGACTATTTCTGGGTAGAATATATTTACAGACAAAAGGTTTTTTGGCCTTATTACTAACTATTAGCTACTGCCAATAGTAGCTAATAGCTACTGCTAATAGTTAGTAATAACTAATGAGCTAATGTTGCTCTTTCAGCAAATGGCTGTTATTATTATCCGTTTCATAAATATTTTTTTTTTACATACTGCAGCTTGAAAGTGTATGTGCAATTTTAAATTGACATTTATTACCAGTGTTACTGTACTCAACATAGACGATGGTTTATCTGCAAATTTAAAGAAACAATTTACTCAATGTCCCTTATTTTAATACAGCAATTCCTTCAATATTTAACTATAAAACAGGAGAACAGATTAGGTCTGTTGCAAGAAATCAATTAATCACATGAT